GGATATGAATATATATATATATTTGTGCACGGGGTAATTAGAGGACGTACAATTAAAAGTATGTAGTTCGATAAGGACCAAAGTTGGTTGAGGTGTGCCGAAACCGACGAGAGATCAGGCCTGCAAAAGAGGGCCCACCTGGTATATTGATGTAAATAATAAAGGGTGAGGTGGGAGGGGAACTTCCAGACCGTGACGATAGGTAAGCTGGGTTACTGGGGATTTAAATAGGAAAATAACCCCTCACACAAATTCAGGCAAATGCCTTCCACTTGTGTACGGGGTAATTAGAGGACGTACAATTAAAAGTATGTAGTTCGATAAGGACCAAAGTCGGTTGAGGTGTGCCGAAACCGACGAGAGGTCAGGCCTGCAAAATAGGGCAAAAATATAAGACAAGATTAATTTAGAATACTTATGGAGGTCTCCTGATAAATTAACTTATAATTCCGTTCCCATCTACCTTTCCCTCCCTCTCCCTTCCCCTCCTTAGGAAGATGCCGATATGTCTTGTGGACACAAATGGGTCTCCCACAGGGGTGGCATCTTATCCTATTTTGGATATAGCACTTATATTAATACTACATATTCAGTTCTTTTTTTTCTTCTTCTTTTTGTTTTTTTTTCTGCATAAATATGGGAGAAGTGGTAATTGGCTTGAATTTAGTAGCCGTAGAAATTGAATTTTTCTACTGTTTCTATGGTACAGATTAGTTGTATGTCTTTGAACGTTAATAGTCTGAATTCCCCAAAGAAACGCTATATCTTGGTACAGAAGTTAGAAAGGCAAAAAAAAGATATTGTATTTATTCAATAAACTCACTATAAAAACACTTTTCAGCCTAGACTTAACCCGAATAAATTTAACCAGACTTTCTACAGCAACTCTTTGAAAGGCAAGTCTAGAGGAGTGGCAATTCTCTTAAACTCTGAATTGAATTTTGCCCAATCAGATAGTAAATTGGATTGAGGAGGTAGATATATCTTCTTAAAACGGAATCTCAATAACCAAATGATCACGCTTGCAAATATATATGTGCCTAATGCTAGCCAAGCATCTTTCTTGAAAACATGTCTAAGGAAACTGGAAGATTTCAAGGAAGGAGTTTTGATAATTGGTGGGGATTGTAATATGGTGTTAGATTATACAGTGGATAGTTCTTCAAATACGAGAGAAACACAAAAGAGGTCGTTAGTCCTAAAAATTTTGCACTCCTACCAATTGATTGATTGCTGTTGTATTCTCCATCATTGGGAAAGGGATTACACTTTTCACTCATCACCTGCAGATAGCTATTCTAGTGTAGACATGTTTTTTGTAAACCATAGATATCTACATTTGGTAAAGGGGGCAAAAATAGGAAATATTACGTGGTCTGACTACGCCCCCATTTTCTTGGATATTGAATTGCAAGGCGATGGGAAGGGTAATAACATATGGAGATTAAATGTGTCTTTTCTTGACGACCCAAGGGTCACCAAGGACTTATCAGATATGGTTTCTCAATATTTTCTAGATAATTGTACAGACGATATTAATGAATCATGGATATGGGAAGCGCATAAGAGTGTGATCCGGGGGGTCTTAATTAAATGGGGTGCCAGATGTAAAAAGGAACGAGCCGAAGAAATACAAAGGCTCGTAAAAAAATTGGATACATTGGAGTCTATGCATAAGCAAACTCCAACCGAAGAAAATTTTAAATGTTTATTGGCAATTAGATCTAAGCTGAGGTCATTATTGACTTATGAGGCCCAAAGAGTGGTCCAGTTGACACAAAGTACAATATACACACATGGGGACAAAAGTGGGAAATTGTTAGCTAAAGCCTTAAAAGTAAAGTTACAAAAAATATATATACCCAAAACTAAAGATAAACAAGGGAAAAGTTGTAATACTACTGAGGAAATAGCAAACACTTTCAGGAATTATTACAAAGACCTTTATAATTTAAAGCTCCTTGAGAAGACCCCATATGAAAGAGAACAATATCTATCTAAAAATATTCCATTAAAAATTTCTAAAGAAACAGCCCAATTGGAGGAATTGTTTTCCTTTCAGGAGCTTTTGGCAGTGATAAAGGCAATGCATCTTAATAAAAGCCCTGGGCCAGATGGTCTTTCGGCACGTTATTATAAAAAATTCCATAATATTCTTGAGCCACATTTTCTTAGAACTTTTAATGGTCTATCTCCAACTATGGACATTCCGCATCAATGTTGAGAGCAGTAATTGCTGTGATACATAAAGCAGGGAAAGATCCAGAAATATGCCGTAGTTTTAGACTGATTTCTCTTATTAACGTTGATTTAAAAATATTTGCAAAACTCTTGGCAAATAGGCTTAATCCCCTTATGCCTGCACTGATCCACCCTGATCAATCTGGCTTTGTCTCTGGCCGCGAAGCCAGAGATAACACTACTAAAATCTTGAATGTAATACATGAAGCTATAATAAATAAAAGTCCTACAGCTCTGTTAACTATAGATGCTGAGAAGGCCTTTGACAGGGTGGATCGGTCCTATCTGTTTGCAACTCTAGAGGCATGGGGGCTTGGCCAAAGATTCTGCAATTGGGTACAGACATTGTATAGAGGCCCTTCTGCTAATGTCCGTGTTAATGGTCAACTTTCCAACCCTTTTTTTATTAGCAACGGCACCCGTCAGGGCTGCCCATTGTCCCCTCTTCTTTTTGTTTTAGCATTTGAACCTTTTTTAGAAGACATACGAAAGAATATGGACATTAAAAGATATAAGTATACGGGAGGAGAGGTTAAAGTAACTGCTTTTGCCGATGACGGGTTATTTATGCTTATAGAACCCCGATATACATTTCCTTATGTCCATGAGGAATTGGAGAAATTCCGTGGCTTATCTAATTTTAAAGTAAATTCAGATAAGTCTGAAATACTGGGAGTGGGGATAAATACAGGAATTAAAGAGGAAATACAAAAGCTATATAAATATAAGTGGACAGACACTAGTATAACATACCTAGGGACACAACTGACGATACAGTTAAAAGATTTATTTAAATTGAATTATGGAAAATTATTGAGAAAGATTGAAGAAGATCTAAAAAAATGGAACCAGGCCTCTTTCTCATTGATCAGGAGAGTAAATATTATAAAAATGATGATTTTACCTAAGATATTATACCTAATTCAGACGTTGCCGGTCTCACTGCCGAGAGACTTCTTTAGAAAACTGCGATCTACATTACTTTCATTTATATGGAATCATAAAACTCCACGTATTGTGTATAATATATTGACACTACCTGTTGAGAGAGGTGGCTTGGGCCTCCCGCAAATCTATAGATACAATGTTGCGGTATTATGTGCGCAAATTAGAGAATGGACGGCTATAGATAAGGGGAAGCCTTGGTATACGATAGAACATGATTTTATTAAGGTTAAGTTGGAGACACTGCCTTGGCAGAACTGTAAATTAAAATTACTATCACCCTCTAAACACCCAATTATAAACCACACCATACAGATTTGGAGAAGGCTTAAAGATAGATGGGGGCTATCCCTGGGACCATCTGTATTCTTTCCAATAGCATCTAATGTGGATTTCCAGTCTGGGCCGGGTCATAAACTGTTGGAAAAGTTCGGTAAGAAATTCGGTGACATCCTGATCCCCCGACTCACCGCTGCACTAAACCAACTGCAGAAAGGAGACCGGTTCCTTCAGTTTCAAGTTTAATAACAGATGAAACACCCAATAGATTAAACTTGAAACTGGGTTCCTTCAGTTTCAAGTTTAATAACAGATGAAACACCCAATAGATTAAGAGAGTTCCCTTCATGGGACAATATGACAGCTCTTATAGATAGAATGGGTATTATGTACTTAAAGTTTTTCATAAACCAAAAAGTGTTACCATATTGGCAGACGAGAGAGAGAACAGAGTTTGAGTCACTTTGTGGTCCTGGAATAGAGAAAAAAACATTACCTGTCCAGTATATATAGTTTAATTCATAAGGGAGCTATGGAGAAGACTGTCCCTTCATTCCAATTGAAGTGGATGCAAGGTTTGAACATCCAAATGACCAGCAATGATTGGTCACTTGTGTTCAAAATGGGGATGAAAGCCCAGATGAGCACTCCTAGGAAAATTATATTTTTTAAAAGAGTCACTAGATGGTACAATACTCCAGATCGACTTAAAAAATACGGTGCACCGGCTTCGGATGGCTGTTGGAGATGTGGCGAGAGGGGGGCGAATATGGAACATATATGGTGGGAGTGCAAACTTATTAGGAGCTACTGGTTACAGGTACTGAGTGTCATTTATAACATTTAACCAATGCCTGATCAATTATCTCCATCCAAGATTCTATTGGGATGGCCAGCTTCCTTTAAGGAGAATAACAAACAGATATTGCTGAGTTTCTTATTGAATGAAGCAAATGCTTTGAGCCCATTGTATTGGCTTAAGTCTAGTATTCCGACTAAAGAACAATGGATTTTTAGAGTAGAAGCTTTGAAAGAACTTGAAGAAGTCCATTGGGCCATTCAGGGGAAGAGGGATCATTATGATAGGATATGGGAACTCTGGCGAGCGTATTGGGCAGAAACATCATAGCAAGATTACGTTAAGACATACTGAGGATCCCTAAACACCCTCTACTACCCACCCCCGCCCTTAACCCATACCTGGGCCCCCATCCCTGCCCATACAGAATAACCCACCCACACCAAATGGCATACACACCAGCACCATTCCACATAATCACACAAAACTGCAGAGGTCTGAACGCACCTCAGGGACACCGACACCCATAGAATACAAAACAAACACTACAATACCACCTACCATAGTAGCCACCAAACCACACGAAAAGCTGGAGTCTCGATTCTCCTAAGCACCAATCTACAATTCTCCCACTCTGAAATGCACAAAGACAGACGGAAGATACATATTCGTGAAGGGAACAATCTCCCGGAAAACGTATACGTTCGCCTCAATTTACGCCCCAAATACAAACCAGGTTAAGTTCCTGCACAGAACGCTCCTGAAACTAGCAACTTTCACAGAAGGCATCCTTATCCTTGGCGGAGAACTTAACCTACCTTTGGACCCAATAGCAGACACCTCCACTGGACATAGCACAGTAGCACAAACAGCAATCAGAACACTCCGCAGAACGCTGCTTGATTTGAGACTGGTGGATGCTTGGCGAGCACTCCAACCAGACGGCCGAGACTACACGCACTACTCGACCTTCCACAGGCGATACTCGCACATTGACTAAATTTTCATCCAACAAGAGGGACTCACACATCTACAAAAAGCCGACATTAGACCGACTCCGTTGGCGGACCACAGCGAAACCTCCATACACCTAGACTCCCCCATTTTCAAGCCCACCAGAACGTCATGGAGAATGAATCGCTTCTCCTAGACGTGGCAATCCAATCGCAACTGACCGAACATCTGAACCAATACTTCGAAGAGAACGCAACAGCTGATATGTCACGGATAACACTCTGGGAGGCCCATAAGAGTGACCTCAGAGGACACTTTATACGAATAGCGTCGCATAAAAAAATGGGACAACCTGAAAGCAATCGAAGACCTAACGACCCAAATAGCAAAACTGGAGACCCTTCATAAACGAAGCCAACTAGACGCCCAATATCGAGAACTTCTGTCAGCGCGCAGACAACTCACAGAGCTCATAGACCGCAAATACCATAGAGCACTACAGCGCTCGAAGGCCTCATATTTCATACACGCAAATAAAAGCGGCAGACTATTAGCGCAGATGATAAGAGGGCAGAAAACGAGAGCCCAGGTACCAACACTGCGAACCTCAAGAGGACATCCTGATCCCCCGACTCACCACTGCACTAAACCAACTGCAGAAAGTAGACGGGTTCCACACGGAGACAATGGCTGCCACCATTACGGTCATACCTAAACCAGGCAAAAATCCAGAATGCTGCAGCAACTACCGCCCCATCTCATTCCTCAACACGGACGTCAAGCTATTCTCTAAGATCATAGCAAATAGATTACAACCCTACCTCCCGAGGCTGATCCTTCCAGATCAAACGGGCTTCATCCCAGGGAGAGAGGCCAGAGACTGCACTCTGAGGATGTTTACTATTCAGCACCTGGCTGACCCAAATAGCAAAACTGGAGACCCTTCATAAACGAAGCCGACTAGACGCCCAATATCGAGAACTTCTGTCAGCACGCAGACAACTCACAGAGCTCATAGACCGCAAATACCATAGAGCACTACAGTGCTCGAAGGCCTCATATTTCATACACGCAAATAAAAGCGGCAGACTACTAGCGCAGATTATAAGAGGGCAGAAAACGAAAGCCCAGGTACCAACACTGCGAACCTCAAGAGGACATCCTGATCCCCCGACTCACCGCTGCACTAAACCAACTGCAGAAAGGAGACGGGTTCCACACGGAGACAATGGCCGCCACCATTACCGTCATACCTAAACCAGGCAAAAATCCAGAATGCTGCAGAAACTACTGCCCCATCTCATTCCTCAACACGGACGTCAAGCTATTCTCTAAGATCATAGCAAATAGATTACAACCCTACCTCCCGAGGCTGATCCTTCCAGATCAAATGGGCTTCATCCCGGGGAGAGAGGCCAGAGACTGCACTCTGAGGATGTTTACTATTCAGCACCTGGCACAAAAGGAAAACAAGAACATGCTACTGCTCTCCACGTATGCAGAAAAGGCGTTTGATCGGGTAAAGTGGCACTTCATGATGGCAACGCTCGCCAAGATAGGGTTAGGGAAGGGGATGCTCACGTGGATTGAAACATTGTACCGCAATCCAAACGCAAGGATACGGGTCAACGGAGCACTCACAACTAGCTTCGCCATCCACAACGGCACCAGACAGGAATGCCCCTTATCCCCCCTCTTATTCGCTCTCACACTGGAGCCTTTCCTAGATAAGATCTGACGAACGCCCAACATCCAAGGACTCCAATACAAAGAACAAGAACACAAGGTGGCAGCTTACGCTGACGATATGCTCTTCTACATTAACAACCCAACATACATGCTTCCTGTATTAATGGAGGAGTTTGAAAACTATGGCCGAGCATCAGGGCTCAAATTGAACCTTACAAAATGCGAAATACTACAAGTTTCGACCCCGTCACCGGATTGGGACCAGATCAAACATACCTACCCCTTCACATGCTGTGAAGATCAGATGAAATACCTTGGCATATGGATCCCACACAGACCGACAGAAATATACACAAGGAATTACACCCCGCTCCTTCAACAGATTCAAAGAGATCTGAAGACATGGAACCATGAGTACATCTCCTGGCAGGGACGAATAACGCTGGTGAAGATGAATATTCTGCCAAGACTCCTGTACTATTTCAACACCATACCATGGCATATACCACCAGACTTCTTTGCAACAATAAAATCAGCGATAGGCAGTTATGTCTGGAAAGGGTAAACTATGCCTACCCAAATCATGGGGCGGACTAGCACTGCCCGGCATACGAAAATACTACCATGCAGCTGTTCTACAGAGGATCAGGGACTGGCACACAGCCCCGAATCACAAAAGATGGGCAGACCTAGACAGGGAAAGTATGTACGGCACCCTCCACTCACTAGTGTGGCACCAAGCTCGGGGAGAATTACCGAACACGAGTAAGACCTCACCCATCACACAAACACTAAAAACATGGGCTATAGTGAGAAAAGAATCCTATATCTCCCCACAACCTAGCCCATTGATCCCACTGACTCATAACACAGACCTGGGAGGCGGCCTATCGAGAGGTGCATGGCCAGAAACTAATGGAGAAGAATATCTCCCTCTGAAGGAGGCGCTACACAATGCAGGGTTAAAGAACTTACAGGAATGGACCGGAACCGAAACCCCCTCTCTCGTGCACAGATTCCGCTATGCGCAACTCAGGCATTTCTACTATAATATCCCGAACAGACAGGCAGTACATAGAGATACAACATAGTTCGAAAGCCTGTGCATCGACACACCTGAAGCGGATGGGAGAGTCTCCATAATATACCAGAGAATACTGTTGGGCGACCGAGTCAGAAATATAGCGTTTAAGGGTCAATGGGAAGACCTCACGGGCAGGACATACAGTGATGCACAATGGGAACAGATCCTCATACTGCAACATAAGAGTTCGATCAGCTCAAAATACCAGGAGGCCAATTTTAAACTGCTATCCCACTGGTACCGAACACCTGCGTTGCTACACAGGATATTCCCAGGGACCCCTGACACATGCTGGAGATGCGAGACCCACACGGGAACAGTACGACACATATGGTGGGACTGCAACCATACTGGGACCAAATCCGACAAGAACTGAACGTGATCCTGGGCGACATACCAGACCTCAGTATAGAAGCTGCCCTACTCCACTTCACGGACCAATCCGTAGCACAATATAAGAGATCAATTCTGAGACATCTACTCAATGCGGCTAAAGCCCGAATCGCAACGCTATGGAAAAGCACACAACCACCCACGATCGCGCAATGGCAACAGAAAGTTGAAGAAATTCACACAGCGGAGGCAAAGAACGCGGACTTACAAGGGAGAAGCACCAAACACATAGATTTATGGAGGCCATGGTACATGTACCTAACACGTCCACGAGCACAGGGAGGGGAGATACAGGGGACACCGAGACGCACACGAACAATATATAACCTACACAAGCAACCCCCCCTTGGGGCCTCCTGCACCCCTCCCATTTTTTTTCTCTCTCTTCTTCTTTCCCTCCACTATCCTGACCTGCCTCGGGGCTCGGACGGGGGCGTCTGGCGCCTGCATGACCTACCCCTTGCCTCCCTCAGAGGCAAAATTACGACAGCACCGAATAAGACCCGACTGGTGACACGGGGGAGGAGGAGAGGGGGCAACTCACCCATGGGGGCGTACCCTGTGACCTCCTAATTAGCCTTGAGCACAGCTACATTACCTCAAGACCACAGCAGGAAAAGAAAAATAAGTCAACCAAATAAACGAAAACATGACACATGAGACAACCCCCCACCACACACACGAACAGGTAAACGCCAGACCACGCAATAAAACACACACAAATGCCCTGACCCTGGCCAAAGACGATACGGCCCAATTTGGAGTAACAAGGACCGAAAGAGGGGCGACACACCCCTCTCCCAGCCCCACCCATACCCTGAGACCCTAAACCCGATTCACACGCAGACCTATGACACGAGAGATTTGACCACACTGACAATCACCGAGACTGAGACGATAGCAAAACTCAGAAATACAATCCTAGGCTTACGTAAGAGCGTATTGAAACACATTCCTGCACTTTGTTAACTGAAAAGTAAACCACTAAAGTCAAAGTCAAATACCCCGATACCGGTATTGGGGACTTACAATCTCGCATCTGAATGACGTGACCATGATGTACACCTTGCTAAGAGACCTGCGAGTCTCCTTACCACTGAAGTTTACGCAGAGATTTGCATATCTCAATGTATAATAGGCTCCTACAAGTATAAGAAACCTGCGAGTTTCACAATGTTTATCAACTAACTGCATTTTACAACATGAAAAAACCATAATAAAGAAATAAAAAAAATAAAAAAAAAGACATACTGAGGATGAGTTAATAGACCACTAAGGTTAGAAGTATTGGCAGAACCCCCCCCTTTTTTTTTTTCTTTTCTTTCCTTTTTTTCTTTTCTCCCCTTTCTCTCTTGGAATGTTTTAAGCATATGATGATTAGTGATGTCGCGAACCGTTTCGATAATGTGCCTAAATGATTGCTAATTGTGAAATTAATCTTTTTTTTAATTTGCGTCAGATATTGGGACTACTTTATGCCATTGTCGAATAGCATTATTCAACATGGATGCTGTCCAGGAAGTAGGAGGGTCTGGGAGGGAGGGTCTGCCGGAGATTGGCAGGGATGTGTCAGCTGACCGGAGTTCGCCACGAACGGTTCGTGGCGAACCGTGGCGAACCGTTCGCTGCAAGTTCGCGAACGGTTCGCGACATCACTAATGATGATATGGGACTTTGATAATGCTATTCGACAATGGCGTAAAGTAGTCCCAATATCTGACGCAAATTAAAAAAAAGATTAATTTCACAATTAGCAATCATTTAGTCACATTATCGAAAAGAAAGTCTGATTTCTATCCTGGGTTAGGAATGTTCCTATTGTAAACCAACTTACCATATTTCTACTTATGTGTGTCGTAACACACCCATTAGAGGCTGCT